GGTCCAGCTCCCCAGCTGGAACTTGCCTAGGAAGAAGGAGGACAACCACTGCAAGACTGTGCCCCTCACTCCCAACCCCCTAACCCAGTCTAGAAAAATATCATGATCAATGGTGTCAAAGGCTGCTGTAAGATGGAGAGTAATGAGGGTATGAGTCACTATTGTGGATCCTTACTAGAGCTAGGCAAAAGCCCTCCTATCTGTGGCCTTTACTTCAGAAGTAGCCATGAGTTCAGAGGACTTCCAAGTCAAGAGACAGCACTGAAGCTGATGGACAATATTGATGAACAAATAGAACTTTATCTTGCTTGGCTTCAGTTTCACTGTTTGGTCCCATCCATGTCCTTACAGCCTCCAGGAACTGGGACATGACTTCCACAGGATCATCTAACACAGCCCACAGTAGTGATGTACAGCTGGGTATCATCAGTGTATTAATGATACTGCATCCCAGATTGACTGATGATGTTGCCCAGTAGCTTCATGCAGATGTTAAGCAGTTGGGGGAAAATGTAAATCCTGTGGCACCCTATAAATGAGGGGCTATCAAGCCAGACTCTCCTTACTTGTCACCATTGTCTGGAATCTTCCATTGAGGGAGGAGAAGAGCCACTGAAACAGTGTATCTAAGAATGATGCATGTCTGATCACATTAAAAACTGTTGAGAGGTTTAATGGGGACAGAAGCGGTTCATTAACTCTATCTGGTTCCCAAGAAAGCTGATCTACCAGCATAACCAAAGCTGTTTCTGTTGTATGCCCAAGCCTGAATCCTGACTGAAAAAGGCTCAGATAATCCACTTCTTCTAGGGTACTCTGTAACTGAATTCCTACCGCCCTCTTCCCTAAATTTAAGTCAACCTAGTGGTGTGCAGTATTTGAAGCAGAAGTCAGTAGGGGTGCTTTGCATTTAGTGTTGAGTACCCTCTCTCTACCTCTCAGCTGTTCCTTTAAAAAGCCATCTTTGCATTGTCACTGCATTTCTTGAGCTACCATGGGCGTCCAGAAGAAGGCATAGCATAAGGCACATGATAGTATTAGTGATGGATCTGAAGCATCCTTGCCTGTTTTGCATCCAAATACTACACACCGTTAATTGACTTTAAACCTTCACTTTTCTACATGTGTTAATTCTCCTTCATGAGATCACACCATTTTCATTCAGATTTATTACATCTTTCCCTTCTCTTAGTTTCAAAGATACAATATTTTCTTCTGTTCATTAATTCATACAGTTCACCATTTACTCTTGTTACATTCCAAGTTGCAGTTTTCCAAATGCCATGGTCATGGATCCATGGATATTGATTTCTACCACCTATCATAGCTTTGGTCAATTGAAGCTTTCACATAATGCATTTTAGTAAGACAGGGAAAGTGAAAACGAGGGTACCAGCCTTAATTCTAACTTGCCTCATTTGGGTTTTTTTGCTTTTGGTATGGACAGTGCGAATCAGTTTTGGCACATTTTGGCTGTTTTGCCACAAGTGCAACTAAACTACAAGAATATCCCAAGCATCCTCATTATGTTCTATTCAGGCTAAGATCTCTAGAGAGTACTTCCAAGCCCAGATACTGCTGCTTGTATGCCACCAACTCAGAAGTATATGCATTGTACTAACACATGCTTGAATATGTACTCAGGAAGTTCTGCAGAAATGCAAATTTGGATTTAACTCATTTTAAATTGTATACCAGAATTAGGGGAAAATGTGCTATGAAGTGGCAGTGATCTGTAAAGCTTTTATTGTATTCTGTTATTTCTTTTTTTTTTTTTTTACATTTTTAATTAGAATTTTTCAATACAGTAAAAGGATTAAAAAATTAAAGAATAAGAAAAAAAGAAGAGAGAAGAAAAAGAAAAAAAGAAAAGTGAAATGAAATTATCCTTTTGGGTCGGGAGTGGGCAGCGCAGTTCTGTGCTGGTCTCTTCCTTCCTCCAAGGTCGAGCCCAATCGGTGTTGATTGGGAGCGAGAGATCCAGCCCACAGCTCCTCCATTGTGGGGTGCCACAGGGTTCGGTACTCTCTCCGCTCCTTTTTAACATCTACATGAAACCACTAGGTGAGATCATCCACCACCATGGGATGAGGTATCGATATGCAGATGATACCCAGTTATACATCTCCATCCTGGATGACTTAAGTGATGCTGTGACCACCCTTTTGTAGTGCCTGGAGGCTGTGGGCGTCTGGATGGTGAACAATAGGCTTCAGCTGAACCCTGGTAAGACAGAGTGGCTATGGATTGGAGACCCCTCTGTACCCGAGAACTTACCATCTTTGGTTTTGGACGGGGTTGCACTGCCCCAAACAGAGCTGGTGTGTAATCTGGGGGTCTTCCTGGACTCGCAACTACTGCTCGAAGAGCAGGTGGCAGTCGTGGCCAGGATGGCCTTTGCCCACCTTTGCATAGTATGCCAGTTATGCCCCTTCTTGGATCAGGAGGCTCTCCAGTCAGTCATTCATGCCCTGGTCATCTCTCAGTTAGACTATTGCAATGCGCTCTACATGGGCCTACCCTTGAAGAGTATCCGGAAGCTACAGCTGGTTCAAAATGCAGCTGCATGGATGATATTAGGTGCCCCGAGGATGGCACATGTAACACCTTTGCTGTGGGAGCTGCATTGGGTCCCAGTTTGCTTCTGGGTCCAATTCAAGGTGTTTAAAGCTCTACATGGCATGGGTCCAGGTTACCTGAGGGACCGTCTCATCCCCATTACATCAACCCATCCCACCCAGTCAGGCAGAGAGGGCATGTTGCAGAACCCCTCAGCGAGGGAATGTCGGCTGGCAGAGCCCAGGGAGAGAGCCTTCTCTGCCATTGCCCCCACCCTTTGGAGTATTCTCCCCCCAGAGGTGTGGTGGGCCCCTACCCTCCGGCTTTCAGAAAAGGCTTAAAGACCTGGCTCTGTTAGCATGCATAGGGTGATATGGGCTCTACCCATTTCCATCTTCTTGGAACTTATTTATTTTTATGATTGTTTTTATGTTTTATTTTAATGAATTTTTATCTTGCTGTAAACTGCCCAGAGTTGTTTCACAAGATGGGCGGTGACCAATTTGATAAAAAAATGAAATGAAATGAAATGAAATGAAATGAGAGAGAGAGAGAGAGAGAGAGAGAGAGAGAAAGAAAGAAAGAAAGAAAGAAAGAAAGAAAGAAAGAAAGAAAGAAAGAAAAGAAATTACCATTTATTTTTTCCCTTTCTGGTTTAACCCTTTTTAGTCCCAAATCCAAAAATCATAAATTGGGTCGTCTTCTAACAAAAAGTCCATATAAGGCTTCAAGTCTTTTAAGAAAAAGTCTTCATCGTTTTTTCCCTGACCAAACTGGTCAGCTTTGTCATTTCTGCAAGCTTCATCAAATTTATAATCCAATCTTCTACTGTGGGTATTTCATTATTCTTCCATCTTCATGTGCACAATAATCTTGCCACAGTTGCCATATACAATATTAGCTGCCCATATTTCTTTTCCACTTCAGTGCCCATAAAACCCAATAGAAACAGTTCCCAGTTTCATTGTAATATTAATCTGCGATATCTTTTGCATCATTGTATGCATTTGCACCCAAAATGTCTTTGCTTTTTCACAAGTCCACCATGAATGATAAAAAGTCCCCTCTTGCTATTTTGTTCTGCTACAAGTAGTCCTTAACTTACGATGACAATTGGGGCCAGAATTTCTTTTACTAAGCGACGTCGTAAACTGTGACTGCATCACTTAGCAACAGCAATCCCTGCAGTCCCAGTTGCCATCATTAACTGAATCCCATGGTCATTAGGCAAGGCAACTTCCTGCTGACTTCCCACAACCCAAGTCAGTGGGGAAGCCAGTAGGAAGTTGCAAATCCCAGGCTGGCAGCCAGGTAAGTGGCTGCTGCCAAGTGGGGGAGGGAGTGAGGGGGTGCACAGGGGTGCAGGACAGGATCAGTAAAGGTATGAGGGGGTGCACAAGAGGCACCAAGTGGGTTGGGGAGGATGCACAGTGATGCACGAGAGGTGCCACACGGGTCGGGGGAGGGTGTGCAGCGGTGTGTGAGAGGTGCTGCGAGGTGTGTGAGAGGCATTGCGCAGGGGTGCATGACAAGTGCCATGCAGGCCAGGGAGGGTGCACATGGGTGCATGAGAGGTGCCGCATGGTTCGGGGAGGGTGCATGGGGGTGTGTTAGAGGCGCTGCATAGGTCAAGAGGGTGTATGAGAGCCACCGCACAAGAGACATTGCATGGGTCAGTGCGGTGGTGCACAGTGGTGCATGAGACGTGCCATGCAGGTCAGGGAGGGTGAAGCCAGCATAAAAGGTTGGAAATGGCGATCATGTGATCATGGGGTGCTGGACAACTGGTCGTAAGTGTGAATGGATTGCCAAGCAGCCAGATTGCGATCACATGACTACGGGGGTGCTGGGACAGCCACAACTTCGAGGACCGGTTGTAAGTCTCCTTTTTCAGCACTGTCGTAACTTTGGCTGGGGAACAAATGGTTGTAAGTCGAGGAATACCTGTATTTCGATGCAAAATATAACTAGGGGTGCATATTCTTTCGTTAGTGTCTAAATGTGTAGTGAAGATTCTGGCACCTTGTTGACTGAAGATTGCTAACATTCTCCTTAGGTTTTCTGTCTTAATAAACGTGGAAAGGGATTTAACACCTTTCTCTCTTATTGTGATCGCTAGAATACAGAATATAATCTGATTGCCAGACATGTAAGCAGAGGCATGTTGATGGTTTATGTAGTTTGAGTTGGTTTAACGATCAAAGGATACTGTCAGTTTACATGGTGCTGTTTCCAACAGTTAATTGAAAGCTTGCAAGAGATATTTCCCAATATTAAGTAAGGAAACTGGATAAAGATATAATGAAGGACTTCTGTCAGAAAATAATGAAGATACACAGTTGAGTAAAAGCAATAAAAAATCATTTACTTTTTAAAAGTAAAGATTACATCCCAATATATACTTAAATACTAATTCACTTATCTTTATTTTTCTTTTGCAGATCTTTGAATATCTTCATTTTATTTTTCTGTGCTGATATTATTCCTCCCTTAAGTTATTATATACTTTTTGCTGCTCTGTGAGAAGAGATGTCTCGCAGCCCAGATGCAAAGGAAGACCCTGTGGAATGCCCCCTTTGCATGGAGCCTTTGGAGATTGATGATATAAACTTCTTCCCTTGCACCTGTGGTTATCAGATCTGTCGCTTCTGTTGGCATCGTATTCGCACGGATGAGAATGGACTTTGTCCTGCTTGTAGAAAGGTATCTGTCTTAAGTTTGTCAGAAATATTTTGTTTGATAATACAGCCTCAGAATAAAATGTTGCTTTAATCTAATTGTAAGTTTCTTCCTAAAAAATTTTGGGGATGTGGTGTGGTGGAGGGTAAACAAAGAAAAAATACAGTTGCTTTGTATGAAACATAATGTTAATTGTCTCACAATGTAATTTGTGACAAATACGATACTTCCATTGATGTAAAGTGGCAAAGATTGTCCTTGGTGTAACTAGTTCCACTGTCCTATGCAAGTCAGTGATTACACATTCCTTTACATATTTGATCAATTCTTTGTTTTGTTGTGATTATTTTGAACTCAGCTAGTATGCTCTGTAATATTTGCAAATGCTGTTTGTGCCATCAGGAGTGTGTATCATGTGTTTCTGCATGACATACTTCATGAAACATTGAAGCAAAGTAATTAGTCTGTTGCTGCCTATGCTGCCAAAAATCACCTAGATGAAGGTCTTTATTCTGAGGCTAAGTGGCAAGCCCCTAAAAGCTTGGGAAATACTGCCTCTATTTGCCAACAGTACACACCATTATATTGAGTGTAGAAAGCACTGAAGTGGACTTTTGAATCATACATGTATTATTATATATCTACTGTTTAAGGAAAGGATGGTGATTAGTCCCACAGCTGTCACAGTACAAATTAAATTGTCTAATCCACTGGAAATTTGTAGTTTCAACAGTACTGCTACCCTTTTCAATAATAAAATATGTTATTATTTAAACTATTGTAGTTAATTCTTAGCCTGTTTTTCAGTAATAATTTTCTCAAGGAAAAACAGTTTTTCAGATGCAACATGCATGTTTTGCAAAATATTTGCTGTAGAGTTGCTTTGTTTATTAATAGATTTTTTTACTTGTTAGAGTGCCACAATGCCTAGTCTCTCACAGCAAAAATGACAAAAACAATTTTATTTCCAGAAACCATCTACAATTGATAGTTCTCTTATTTTTGAAATTCACTGGTGAGCAGCATAATAAACTTTATTTAGTAATGCCCTCTCACTAATTATAACATTATAGTTTCCCTCTTAACTTCCTGAATCAGTTTATGCTTTTTTTAAAATCACCAGTGGTTTCACCCTTCTTTCAGAAAACAGTGACATAAAGCATGGGTGAATAAATTAATTGTGGCATACACTTTTATGGATGAGATGCTGTTTTATTGGGTACATTGATCCATGAAATGTTGTGACTGATGCAACAAATGATGTTATTCTTTAATGAGCAGTTCCAGTGTAGTACAGCTATATTTTGTATAAAGCAATAAAGTAGATAGAATCCTATCATCTAACAGAATCTCCAGCCAGGATTGGGGGTGGGGGTGGGGGGACGGTTGAATGATCCTCTGATCAGGTCATATTGAATAAGGATCTGGAAAAGCCACAGAGATTAATGTCTCTGTGAAATCTTTCTTCTGTTTTTCCCTTTTGAAAACGGTTACTTCAAATAGCTTATGTGTTTTGGTGATGCTGTAATATTTAGCAGTTTTTCCTTAAATGTGTATATTTTTCAAAATATATTGTAATAATTTGGAAGATAAATATTTGGTGCATTTCTTTGAGTGCTTCCAATAATAGGGCTGTTTATACTTGACAGTGCTAAAACAGGTCACTTCATGCACCACTAATAGATAAAGAAAGAAGGCTAAACGTTGCATTGCATGAAATTAAAGCAATGCCATGCTTTCTTTAAATACTGCAATATATAACTGCAAATTAGCAGGCATTTTGGCAAGGAACACTTGGGATTATATCCGTTGCTTTTTGCACTTTTCATTTGTGTGTCTGCCACTACTGATTGAATTTCTTCAAGTTATGTTATTTGATTAGAATGTCAACACTTAGAGCAATCACTTCTTGCTCTAGGCAAACAAGAATGTCATAGAGTTTTTTGAAAAGCGAATTTAATATACTTAGTAGTTTTAATTTCCAGTGATACATTGATAAAGCAATTTTCTTGGTAATAGTACAGAGATGATTTGCCATTGCCTACTTATGGAATGTCTTTGGTCTTCCTAGTTTAGTCTACACATCTGATATTCCTTAGGAATCTTCAATCCCAGGTAGTAACTAGGCTTGACCCTTTCTGGGTTTTTAGTATAGGCATGATTGCTAGGTGCTACCATAGTAGCATCTAAACTACTTATTAACATATTTAGAAATGAGCATGTTCTTTTTGTGTATCTTAGGCTTAGTAGTGTACCTTATGCGAAGTAGTGTACTTAGGTATAAAATAAAGAAAATACTCATTTCTAAACATAGGCTATTTTGATGTTATTTATTATGCTCAGGTTTTAATATATATCTTCAGCTAGCAGTAATTGGAAGGTGATATAGTATGCATATATGTATAATAAAATGATTGACTATTCTCTGTGTCTCATGAAATGAAGTTTGTGAAGTTAAGTATAATTCTCTAATATAGTTTTAAAAATGCAGCTCAATGCTGGAAATTTTAGGTCTTTTCTTCCTGCGAAGCTCCTCCCTTCCTCTCTGTAATATAAAGTAATAACTAAACGTATTAGCTAGTATAATTGCATATCATGTTAGTCTTTTCTCTTGTTCATCAGTGTATTTTAAAACAAAATTTACCTTTTGGTACTAACTTCAAAAGTGAGTGCAATAGCATTAGTTAAGGCAATATTTTCAAACTAGATTTTGTAATCTGTGTACCTTGTGTAAACACTTCAGATTTCCCCAGTGATAATAATGCCAGTTTGTGTGTCCTTACTTGTCTCCTCTTAAATTCTGCAGTGGCAAAGATTGGACATCCTATAAAGGACAATAGCAAAGTTTAATAGGGATACCTGGCACAGATTAGGCATGCCAGATTATGTGTCTTAATTTATTTGAAATATATTTTTTGAGTAACTTGCAAAATATCCACCGTAGCAAGCACTGATTCTGCAAAGAAGTCTAATGTAGAAATCATTCACTGAGAGAAATACTCATTGCTAGAAAGCACAGGTATGATTGCAGTGCATGTAAGACAATTGAATTTTGAAATGAGCCTGCTGGATACAGCATAAAATGTAAAATTTCTACATTAGAAATAACTTGCAGCCATTTAGCACTGATACTTCTGGAAAGACAATCTTGTAAAGATAGCTTTACAAGTAATCAATAACTCAAATGTTATATACAGTAACCAAGTAGTAGGATTGTCTCCCTGGACAGTCTCTTACTGTTCTTGCATATCACAATTTTATCTGTGGTTGTGTGAAACCAAATTTCATTGCTGATCTACCTTTTCTTATATTTCCCGGCAATTAAGCATAAATGCTTTCGACAAATTATTCTGGCCAAAAATAAGGCACGAGCAGCCTTTTCTAACATAGTCAGTGGTAAGGGATTCAGCGGGGGACGCGGTGGCGCAGCG